GAGGCTTTCATTTGATCTAACTCGATCAACCAATGCTCGAAGGTGCAACCCCCGGGATCTCCCACTCCCTCGCTCTATGTCCGCTTCGGTCCCGGCAGAAGACCCGCTGGAGACTTCTGGAAACGTCAGACGGCCCGGACAGTCAGAGCTCCATCAACCGGTAACGGCGGTGGAGTCTTCAACTGTATCGGCGCCTACTGGATTATCCGCTGGAGTAACGGGGCAGGTTCGCCCTCCAAGAACACCTCCTACTACAACAATCCACGAGTCAACATACTACCGAGTAATCTCTGGGCCGGGTAATGATGTACCTCGACACCCATTTCCAGTCAGCGACAATTTCTCCTCACGCTTGCCAGCCTCGCTCAGCGTCCCGGTAACATCACAGCCTTCGGTGCCGACATTTTCGCAGCCCACCTTTGGAACGTCACCACCTGGGGCTGCTGGCCGGTCACTGACACAGAAACCGACAAGACGAACCAAAGCTCATGTGGCTTCCGCGTGCGTAAACTGCAAGAAGAAGCATCTGGGCTGTGATCCTGCCCGGCCTTGTCGGAGGTGTGTTTTGTCCGGGAAAGAAGTAAGTTTTGCCATCTACATCCGTGAGGTCATCGAGCCGCCTTCCTTGTATAGGAATCTATGTGGACCGAGGTTGTGATTGAAGAAAGAAGGCCCTGTTACTAATTGTTCAATAGGCAACATGCGTCGATGTTACGCACAAAAAGCGGGGAAGGCCGCCCTTGAAAGCCGAAGACGCGTCCCTCAGAACGTATGCATCGCAGACAGATAATTCAGGAACATCCGGAGAGCAGCATGCGGCTCAGCCACGGCGCCCCATGCATAGGGCTACATCATCCCGTGAGCTCAGACCCATGACAGACTTACAGGTGCCCGGCGGACCCCCTGGGCCTTATGGGATAAGGGTCTCACCAGGACAGCCAACAAGATGGCCGGGTGCTATATACTCCCAAGCCATTGATCCATCGCTATCGATGCAGCGTAATATCGGACATCGGCGATTCTCCTCCTCAAGCTCAGTACAATCCATGGCAACAGTGTCCCCAGGCAGTTTTGTGCCGATTGGAGGATACAGCCCGGTTATGAGTGCATCCCATATGCCTATGGGTGTTGGGAGACCGCTGTCATCATACGGAAACCAAGTGGTGCACCCCAGTTCTTCTCCACCGCAGTATTATCAGCCATACGGTGTTCCCTATTCGCCATATGCACCCAATGCTAGAGTGGTCAGTCGGATGCCCATGGGCGAGCAACCGGTGGCAAGGGATCCCCGGGAAAATGTGGTAGAGTCTTCGGTTAGGCTCCCCCCTATTTATCCTCCCACAGTGGGAAACCCCCAACCGGGGCCACAAGCACACCGGCTGAGCGACCCATATCCAGCGAATTGGTCACCTCGCACTCGAGAGGAACTGATGCAGCAGGAACCACGGCAACTGCCGTCACACGCTCACGGAACCATTGAGCCTATCTCGCCGAGTAGCCAGATGCGTCAAGCCGCATCGGACTTCAGTTTCGGGAGCCAAATTCCCCGACATCTGGCACCAGTTCCTCCTATGCAAGAGCAGCTGTCCCAGGAGCCTCCTGTACATGCTCGAGATGACCATCTAGCCGCTGATGCCGAGACTGATGATTCAAGGCCCACCAAGAGACGGAAGATGGCCTTGGATGATATGGTTAACGATTGAGTACTTATCTCAATCCACAAAAACCGAAAGAAACAAAAATATCCATGATCAGAGCTAGCATATCCATTCTTTTCTTCTTCCAAGGACCCGATGGCCCATTTTGGTTCTTGATGTGTGTAGCCGGACCTACAACAGTTCATGACCTTCATGTACATTTCCTTTGTGGTACGTTTTTTGCTTATATTCTGCTTACACCCGATATCTAGCGGTCTGTCGTTTTCCATATTCTTCTTGCTTGCCTCATTTCCTTTGTTATGCATTTAGTACAGATCCGATCTTTGTCATTGTTTTGCCATATGGTCCATTTCAGCACTATTTCCTTTGTTTGACCTTGAGAATTGCATAGGCCTTGGATGTTTGGGTCGACTGGGTTTGTTTCATACAATGCATGGCGCGCTGCGCGTATCCTTCGAAGATATATTAATGGTCTTGAGCATTGGATTCAGCGTCATAGACGGCGTTTTGTTTTGGAGTCGGGGGCATCACCGAGGTTGCTGCATCATTCGTTGCATATTCGAAAGGAGCATTTGTATCTTCTTTAGTCTTTCTTTCTTGTCTGGTTTTATATTGAAGGGCTTTTTCATATGCTGGCTCTGTGTCATATAGATAGCTCATACAAATTGTGGGATATATGTGTACCATTGGAGTTGAAGGAGGGTGCAAATTACAAGACATAATTTATTCTGCTTCTCAGAGCTTTCCAGTTGATGCTGAGGAACTTAAATCGGGTATGTAGTCACCGCTGCAATTTTTGCATTAACTATTGACAATACAACTAATGCACACTTTCTGGATATAAATCATTGGTAACCTGAAGGTTTATTTACTACTAAACAATGGCGGACTTCCAGATACAGTTAGGGTTATTCAACGTTGCACTGGCCGAGGTAATCGTGAACGTCAACCACGCGACGATCTACAGTCTCCACGACCATCGTCTGCACATCCGATGTTACCTGCTGTTAGTGGGGCATCTTGGAAAAGAAAAGAAAAAGGACCCCCACCATGCCCACCTATTAAAATCTTGAGGCTCTTTTACGTTACTCCAAAAGACAAGCAGACAAGTGGAGCCAAGGTAAAATCTATAACCCAGATATATATTCTCACCCCAAAACTACAAATCCACTTCTATACTCCTCCCCAAACCTAATCCCCTACTCCACTGTCTTCCCCGATCCTTCTGTCAACGAATTGGGAAGAACCCAATGGGGAATCTTCTTTCAAGTGAAATAACCCTATCAGAAGCTCACTCTCGGGATGGGGATAGTTAGATCGGAGGTGAGGGTCGGAGAGCTATAGGGATGCTTTTTTGGGGGATGGGTTCCAAGGTGTTTTTGTAATAGAAATGGTGAGATTGTGGTGGCATGCGATCGAGCTTTTGGAAGAGTGGAGGCGATGGTGTGTTTGCTATGTGTTTAAGTTAACGGAGATATTATCTTGGAGGGTAAGCGGGCAGATTAAAGGACTGAGGTTGTGAAGCGATGCGCTAGTGGTGGTGTTTGGTGAGTTGGAGGAGGAATGGGTTTTGGGGAGGATTAGTCCAAAGATGGAGGTTACGGATGGGAATCTCTAGAGTGAATGGGGGATTTGGAGAGATTCCGCGAGGAGTATCTTTCTTGTCCGTGCTTGTGGCACTAACCGATAACCTTCGATGAACATGCTGAAAAGGATGCTCAACGACCTGCGAAGAGGAACAAACGGTGGGTAGGACTCCAGTGAAGGCGTCTTCGGTGACGAGTTGGGGGAGACGGAAGATGGGAAGACCAAATTATTGCTTGCGTCTTATCATGTCGGTGCGGAAGGAAGATTATCTCGCGGGCTTTGGACATTCGAAGTCCGTTCTGGAGTATTGCTCTGTTTATACATCCACCGTTACTCGAGTTAGGGATATATAGAAGTGGGCCGGTATTAATCTATCATTGTGGCTGATACGATGGTGCCATGCACTTTGCCGGCTGGAATGCGTGTCATGAATCTATGGACACCATTGAAAACGCCACAGAGTCAGATCGATTAATAACCATGCTCAATCCTGGCATGCTTGATCCGTGAGTAATGGAGGCAAGCATGTCGACAAGGATGTGGTATACATGAGTAGGTATGATTGGTCATATCACGGGCGTCACCCGACAGACAAAGACTTCGAATCCCGATTTCTAGAAATGGGCCGAATCCGACCCTTGCCCCGCCGACCAAGTCTAACGCATTGACATGGAGGCAAACGTGGAACGTCAGGAGTGCTTCATGGCTGTTGACGTAGATGAATTGATTTTGGATGTCCTGTCTGCTTACAAGGATGGGTGCTTGATTCAACGGAAATACGAAGATGGCTATTCCCCTGTTCACCTTGATAAGAACGGAAGAGATTTTTTTCAGACTACGGAGGTAAGGGAAATAGATGGTTTGGTGGGTAGTATGGAAATGGAGGATACTTATTAATCTCGTGTGGTCTTTATAATAAATAGCACACTGACAGAATATCGTGTCGCAGCCTGGTCTGTGTTCTCGGGGGAAAAGCATTAAAATATGGCGACGCAGATGAATAGAACGATTTCAGGAGCAGTGATGTGGGAAACGCTATATGCACACTTGAGACTGTGCAAGGATTAAAAGCGTCCAGTATAACTTAATATAGTATCTAATGAAGTCAAGATCAATACCACAGCAATCCTCATCAGGCAACGAGCCATAACCCTGGTGGAAGCCGATACATTATTCCTGTCACTAATGCCGCCAAGAAGGGGAAAGCTTGTACAGGCTTTCCCATCCTTAAGATCTATAACCCTGTAATACCTTTCGAAAACGAACTGTCAATGCTCTTGTTCTTGTGTCTACAAAGAATGGCAGGATCTTTCCGGAGCTCAAAACATGGTAACTCTACTATGTCTATCACCCAGCGGACGATGTTACCTAGCGGTTGTTCTTCCTTGGCTCTCAATTTTTTTTTTTTTTTTTTTGAACAAAGACATTGTCTCTGAGTTTCCGCTGACGTTTGTGACAGTCGTCGACCTTTGCCTGATCCTTTTGCTTCATTCTTGCATGACGAAGCGAAATACTACAAAGTGAGACGCAGCAGCTTCAGTTCATTGGGTCAAATTACTAGGCTAAACGTTTAACCGTTTTTAGATTCCCCGCAGATGCAGTAGACTATAGAAAGGACTGGGTAGGAGACAGTATGGCCACATTGTATATTTAACAGGCTTTGTCCAGCATTCAATAAGACGATATAACATCGTTACAAGAAAGACTTTATACCCCAAGCTATACTTGGCCTTTGATTCAGCTATCTTCGAAATCATGCCTATTATGCCAGGGCCGCGACCATTCATTCTATTCTTCAATCCAGTCAGACATGCAGTACCGTTCTATCAGCAGTTACAAAAGGTAGCGCGAACCGAAGTCGTCACGAGCAAGAGTAGAGAGGAGTTCTACTCCGATCTACAAAGAAAATACAAAGACATCTCAATCATCTACAGAACATCAGCGAGCGGTGCAGTAAGTACTAGTCTCCCTCCAATATCCACTCAATCTATTCCCTTCACACACACTAAGAATCCAACAGGTAGCTGGAAACTTCGACGCAGACTTGATCCAGCGCCTCCCCTCTAGCTGCAAGCATATCTGCCACAACGGTGCCGGCTATGACCAGATCGACGTGAACGCATGTGCAAAACGCGGAATCATCGTGACCTACGCACCGGACCCTGTCACCGAAGCGACAGCCGATCTTTCAATCTGGCTGATGTTGGGTGCTCTGCGACAATTGAATCCATCTCTCAACTCTCTACGAGCTGGGAAGTTCAAAACCGGACTTGACTTCGGCCACGACCCCCAAGGCAAAATCTTGGGTATCCTCGGCATGGGCCGTATCGGACGCGCGATCAAGAAGCGGGCCGAACCGTTCGGTCTTTACCACCAAGTACCATAATCGCAAGCCCCTCTCCTCTGATCAAGCGGCCGGTGCTGAGTATGTCTCTTTCGAAAGGTTGCTGGCCGAGAGCGACATCATTAGCATTAATGTTCCTCTTAACGCGCAAACTAAAGGGCTCATTGGGGAGAAAGAAATCTCACAGATGAAGGACGGGGCTGTCATTGTTAATACCGCTCGTGGCGCGATTATAGATGAGGCTGCGATGGCAAAGGCGCTGGATTCGGGGAAGATCGCTTCCGTGGGACTAGATGTATATGAGAATGAACCGCGCGTGAACGAGTGCTTGCTACAGAATGACCGTGCCTTGATGGTGCCCCATCTTGGAACTCATACTGTTGAGACGTTGGCGAAAATGGAAACGTGGGCAATGGAGAATGCGAGAAGAGCGGCGCTTGGGGAGAAGTTACTCTCGCCTGTTCCAGAGCATATTGATTTCCAATAATTCATGGTTTTATTTCTGTCAATCAATCAAGTGTCAGAGTTGATGATTGAGACCTTTATTGGCGACACTGCAGTATCTTGTTGGTGCAGTAGGTTAAAACATATGATTATCGCTAAACTGACTATCCTTCTAGGGTAGAAGATAAAAACTGAGTAGAATTCGTGGCGTATACATCGTTATTCGCAACAGTTATTTTGTTACGGTTTGTATGTACAGAAATAATTAAAGAAACATATTACAAGAACAGCCACATGCCCACCTGCTTAATTCTCCCCATGACGCTCTTGTCCTCCGGATCCCACGAAAAGAATTTCTTCTTGCGAGACCCATCCGGTTGAGGTGCATTATCGTCGTGGATGTTTCCTTCATTTGGATCATTCAAGTCGACTCCAGTGCTGTGAATAAGGTTGTACCGATCGGTGATCAGGTCCATCTCGCCACGATGAACAAACCGCGTCCGTTTAAACAATTTCCAGGCGAGGAACATCACAATCATGACAGGAATTTCAATATAGTAGGAAACAAAGTCGACGCCTTTAAAGTGTGGGCTGAAGCATTTCCAGCCTTGCACGAGGATGAGAACGCTGTTGAGGCCGATGGCGATGATAGGCCCAACAGGGTATGTCCAGTTCTTGTAAGGGAGGAGGTGTTCGAGGCCTTGGTGGCGAATAGCAGATCTGAAACGGAGAGATGCTACTCCAATGCAGACCCATGAAATTTGGTTTGAAACTCCGACAATGCTGGTATAGGGTTAGCTTCGAGGCCACAATAAACACAGACATCCGTGGTTGGGATTGACGATAGCCGACTCACTTTTGTAACCACGACCATAACTGGCCAGCTCCGATGTAGCTGGCGCCAAAGCATAAACCACTGATCACAGACGTCGCCAGGACAGCAATCCAGGGGATCTGAAAGCGATTCAGATGGCCGAAAAAGCGGGGTGCATATCCGTCAACAGCCAAGGAATAGAGCAGTCTGGATCCAGCAAACAAAGCATGATTCGCTGCAGAGATGACGCTAGTCATAAGCACGGCATTAATGAAACTGCCTGCAACGGCACTGCCAGCCTGTTGGAAAACGAGGGTGAACGGACTGGTGGCCGTGTCTCCGTTGGACAGACCGGGATAGTTGTATGGTACGTTGAGACCGATAATAATGATAGACACGATGTAGAATAGTATGATACGCCAGAAGACGTTGCGGACCACCTTTGGCATGTTCTTCGCTGGGTCCTTGGTTTCACCAGCCGTAACTGCAATAGACTCGGTGCCACCACTGTTCATGTCAGCACAATATTTCTCAAGGATTATAAATATAACATACAAGGCAAATGAAGCTGTAACGAATACAGATGCGAAGCCACCAATACCGTCAACAAAGGGTGCGTCATCGACGTAGAAATATTTGTCTCCGATATATGTGTGCTCAGTGTTGCCGCCACAGTTGACTACAATACCGAGAATAATGAAGATCTGGACATCGTCAGCATTGTATTCGTAAAATCGGATGGGGTCAGATATATAAGAACATACTATGATAGTAACAACTTTGAGCAGACTCAGCCAATACTCGATCTGTAATATATCCATGATCAGCAATTGGAGGCAGAGTCATGGATTTTAACATGCATATAACCTACCTCTCCGTAAACCTTGACGGAAAACATATTCAAAGCAATAACAACAACCAGGAATATCAGACTAATTGCCCATCCCGGGAAGTTATCCGTCCAGTACTGGAGTAGTAGTTGTAGAGCAATAACATCAGACGCAGTGGAAACCGCATCATTAAACCAGTAATTCCAGGTGAGGGCGAACCCTAAAGCGTCATCGACAAACCGACTACAAGTAGTTAGTATTCATGGCACACCTACCACGTAAGGTAGAATGACTCACCCAGCAAAAGTGCAGAAGGATCCCGCCACAGGGATGAAAGAAGCCATTTCACCCAGAGAAAGCATGGTCACAAAGACAATACCACCGCAAATGGCGTAGGCGATAAGCATAGATGCCGGACCGCCAGTGGCCAGAGCTTTACCCGTTCCCAAGAATAAACCAGTTCCAATAGTACCACCGATAGCAATCATTTGAACTTGACGTGCAGAGAGATTACGGGCGAGTTTATCCGCATTGACATACGGAGTGTTGCTGTTGAGGGGGTCTGCTACCAACCCCGGAGCCTTCTGAACCGCATCCTCTTGAGGAGCCCTACCGGGCCCCTTCTCAATGTCATGGGCCACCATTATGTGCAAATGATCTGGTAATGGTCCCGACCTGGATCACTGATAGAGGACTTGAGATATCAAGTCCCCAGCTGACCACAACCAGGGTCAGGGGGTCCTGGTGGAGAGGGTAAATAACCCGTCAAAGCCAAATTATAGCACTAACATGGATTCCAAGTCAGCATATCAAACTAGCAGAGCACCTGCATAACAGCTAAAATCGACCTACCTGAACGCCGATTTATCAGCTACTCAGTGATAGCCCTATAAAACTTCCCAATTAGGAAAGCGATCCGCCAGACCCGACTGATTCCACGTGACAGCGAAGAAACGCGCAAAATTGCGAAGAGAAGGTGTCAAATCAGATATTGACTCTGCGGGGGTGGAGGAGACAAAAAGCTTCTTAAAACCAGAATATCCTGATTGTGCCATCTCAGGGGAGTCAAGGCGAATGCAGACCTTGTAACCTCGCGAAAACTTAGCGGATGACGTGCTCAAAAAAAATTACGTACGACTTTTGGATATGGGCCATGATGGCGCATTTCCTAACGTTACATCGCGGGGAGTAACTGCCGACCACGTTTTCCTTCTGTGGCTAGTAAATCTCCACTCTTGACATCTGCAGTTCAAGATTGAGTTTTGGCTATAAATCTTGTATTTGTTATCGGTCCTTAGCCCTATCGACTATATACATAGAAAAAACTCTTATCATGGACATGCTTTTGATACTCCGCTAGTAGAACAAATAAAAAGGACTGAAAAGGATATATCCATTGACAATAAAATAAAAAAAAAAAAAGATTCCCAGGTTACACATCTCATTACCCAAGCAATCCAGTAGCCAAAGACTCCAAATCCTCCAAAGTCTGAATTTGTTCGGGAGCCTTTGCGGCCGGTTTCTTGCTCTTCTTGTACCAGGGTTCTTCTTTGCTCTCGTCGGGCTCTGCAATGCGAACCTTTTGCTTCTTGCTGGGGCGAGGTGCGTCGTCCTCCCGATCCGATGCAGAAAACTCGTCGTCCTCTTTGTATGGAGCCAGCTGCGCCACAGCTTCCTCGGCTTCCTCCTCGGCAAGCAACTCGCGCTCCCGGGCCTTGCGTTTCTCTTTCTTCTCCCGGCGTTTCTGTTTGGCCACCTCCTTGTCCTCCACATCGGCGGTGCGTGTCCGCTCGGTTTCCTCTGCCAAGAATCGGGCTTGTTGCTCCTTGGCATCCCCACGGGCCTTGAAGTCTTCTTCGTCCTCCATTTCGTACAATTCGTGCGCGTTGCCCTCGTCGTCGTAGATAAGTTTTGTTCCCTTTCCTTTGAACTTGAGCAGTTTCTTCTTCGACTTGAGTAGCTTTTCCCGACGTTTCGAATCAATGACCAATGTATCCTTGCCATCGAGTTGTACCACTTTAACACCCTTCTGTTCTGACTCCTCTTCAGAGCTACCGCCAAGGTCCTCATCTCCAGCGTCGAAGCGACGTTTAACCGACAGGAAGTCATCATCCTCGTCCGCATCGTCGGCAGCACTCGCGGTCTTAGTGGGGTCAACCAATGTGCCGTCATCGTTGATAAGTTTCGAATAGTGGTCGGCCAAGACGTCTTGATTCCGCCTCTCGAACATACGGTCATACTTGGTCCGGACTTGTTTTTCGTCCTTCTTTGTCTTCTTCTCGCCGTCCTCATCAGAATCATCATCACTGGACATATAGGCCGTCGCCCGTGATGCATTCTTGCGCTCCTTAGTGTCGTCTCCCTTGATAAACTTGATACGGGGAGCACCTGGAAGACCAAGGCTGGAAGCGAAGTCTTCCAACTTCAGATCCTTAAGTTTGAAAACTTCCTTATCCTTCTGGACATAGACGGATTTAACGTAGGAGATGAACGCCTTTTGTCCCAGGTACTTAAGCTCTGGGTCTTTGAAGCACATATTTTGCAATTGGTCCTTAATACTCTGCTGCTTGTTGGCCTTGATATTGATGCGTTCAATAGGAACCTTCTTTTGCTCGAGACGTTTCAACATTCCTGATTCCTCGCTAGGATCCAAAAACAACACCGCACGACCGTCACGCTCATATCGGGCTGTCCGTCCAACTCGATGAATGTAAGTGTCGGCATCTTCAGGGCAGTCCATTTGAATAACCCAGTCAACGGCGGGGAAATCTAAGCCACGAGCAGTAATATCAGTTGAAAATAGGACTGCATGTTTTGCTTGTGAGAACTTTGCCGTGATATCAAGTCGTCCACCCTGCTTCTGCCGGCCGTGAAGATGCATCAACGGGATACCAGGTTGTAGATGGCGGAATGATTCGTAAACGAATCGCACCTGCTTTCCGGAAGACAAGAATACAATCGTTTTAGCCTTCAGGTTACTCCGGATAAAACTCCACAGAGTATCAAGCTTCTGCGATAACGGGGTAACGACGTAGTGTTGCTGAAGTGTAGATGGGGTTGCGGAAGATGCTGCTTCGTGAACAGCCACGTATTCGGGATCCTGTAAGCTCAACCGCGCAAGATCCGACACCTTTTTCGTTTGAGTAGCACTGAAGAGCAATGTCTGCCGCTCCTTGGGTAGATGCCCAACAATAGCATCCACAGTCTTCTGGAAGCCCATGTCCATGATACGATCCGCTTCGTCCAAGACCAGCATTTGCAGGTTGAACACGTCGAACATAGCCGTTTGGTCCAAATGCTGCAGCATGCGACCCGGTGTGCAAACCAGGATATTCATTCTTCCTAGTCTTTCTTGCTCCTCCTTCAAGCTCTTTCCACCAATAATCAAGCCGGCTGAGAATGTATGATAACGACCGATTTTGCGAAGGACCTCAAAGATCTGAATGGCGAGTTCACGAGTCGGAGATAAGATCAGAGCTCCCAGGCCATCATGCTCAGACCATTGCTTGCGGTACAAGTTCTCGAGAACCGGGATGAGAAAAGCAAGCGTCTTGCCGCTACCGGTCTTTGCGGCACCTAAAATATCCCGACCCTTCAACGCATGGCCAATCGCACGAGACTGAATATCCGTGAGGGTTTTGAAATGTGACGAATCTAATCCGGAGGCAGTCGGTTCAGACAGAGGGAGATCGGAAAAGGACTTGTAGGTTTCCTTGATATCGAGATCCTCGACCCGCTGGGTAAGAGTCGACAGATCATCTTGCGCGCGCTTGCGTTTCAGAGAATGACGTTGAGAAGATTTCGCATTCTTGCTGTTACGGGGACCATTTGAAGGAGCCATGGCAAGCTCACCTGCTAGGTCGTTGAGGTTTTTGTGAATTCCGTAACGGTCTTTTCGATTTTTCTTAGGCGCTATTTTGAAATGCGAAAGAAATCGCGGGCGGTGTATCAAATACTTTTTTTTTCTGCCGGACACTACTCTGCTGACTCAGCGTGCGATAAGATGAAGGGCTTATCGATGGTTATGGGGACATGCGACCATCTCTATTTCTCCATGCGGAGCTTTTATTAGTAGCATACGAATCTGTTACTACTTCCCTCACCCCTTTTCAACATCAGTAGGAGGCTGTATTATTTACACGTCAAGAAGGATGTCTTCCGATGAACAAGATGCTTTGGATGCCCTGGAAAGGGAAGCGTCCGACTTTGTCAAGGTAACGAAAGCTCCAAATAAAGAGCTCGAAATTCGTTCGACTAACTCGAACACAGGATGCTGAGATTGATCGCATCAGGAAGGCATTTGCCCTAGACGCGTAAGTTTAGCACTGTTTGGCTGTCTGTACTATGTCCTAGACTAATTGTGAGTGTTTTGGAACAGGTATGCGGTTCTCGACCTTCAACCAGGAGTTACTGAATCCGATATCAAAGTACAATATCGCAAAAAGTCTCTACTCATCCATCCTGATAAGACAAAGAATCCAGCTGCTCCAGACGCGTTCGATCGTCTTAAAAAAGCCCATTCTACACTAATGGAGGAGAAGTCGCGCACGTACCTCGATGAATGCATCGCAGATGCGCGACGGTTGTTGATTCGTGAACACAAGTACACATTGGATTCACCCGAATTAAAGACAGAAGAGTTCAAGAAAGAATGGCGTCAGAAGACAGTGCATGTGTTGCTAGAAGAAGAGGCGCGCCGACGAAGACAAGCCAAGGCTAAGTTACAGGAGGAAGGCCGTGAAAGGCGTAAAGAAGAGGAAGAAATTGAAGAGCGAAAACGCAAGCGTGATCAGGATAAGGCATGGGAGGACAGTCGTGATGAGCGTATCAGCAGCTGGCGAGATTGGCAAAAAGGAAAGAAGAGTGAAGGAGACAAGAAGAAAAAGAAGAAAATGAAAGTCCTTGGCTGATTTGCAGGATACCATCGTTTATCATAGACACCGTCATCACAGCGACACAGGTTGAAGACATCATAGCATTTGAAAATCTTTATTGTTGTGTCTTAATGGAAAGCATTTTTCACCAAGCCTGTAAGGATTCTACAAGCCGTTTGCGGTTGTCTCTGCATTTAGACTTAGACCGGGTCGGACTCAATTTGTGACACCGGTGACTTGGCATCGTCCCCCGCCAGAATGGACACATTGACTCCTTCTTCTGCATATTTAGGTTGATTCGTCTATTGCGTTGAGTTATGCTGAAGATTTCTTTATCGGTCAGGTAGGCCTATAATCCACCTCACTTGTCACGATGGTGAATATAGCGCAGCTCCCACCGGAACTATTCTGCCCGGTGCTTGATCTTGCTTTTGAGAATCAAAGTGACATTCAGCTGCTCTGCAGACTCTCTCTTCTTAGTCGCCAATGGTACGAGGCCCTAGTTCCTCGTATATACGCTGAATGGACCTACAACGGGGCGAGGCAGTCATTCAGGTCTCTCTGGAATTTTCTTAGGACTATCCTCAGCGATACCCGTCTCGCAGCCTTGGTACACTCCTTACATATAGGCAACTGGGGTTACTATCCACATGCACGCTCCGGTGAGTGTGAAGAACTAAATCTCCCACGGGATGAGATTACCATTTTCCGCGAAGCTATCAGCAGGGCAGGAATCAAACACCTAGAATCAAGTATTATAAAAGATATACGAAAACGTGATCGACGACCGCTGATGGCACTTCTTCTAACATGCCTCCCAAACCTCACAAGAATACATGCACACATCCCACAGTCTGATCCTGTTCTCAGTGGAGCTCTGAGGCAAATATTAGACTGCCAGAGTGACGACAATCCACCAGCACTTCTTAGCAAGCTGAGCGAACTTTATGTGCTTGGCGAAGTGGGCATTCCTACCTGTGACCTCATGAATTATGACCTCCTTCCAAGAGCCGATCAAACCCTATTGCACCTGAATGACCTGTGGCCCGCACTTCATTTGACAGGTCTGCAGACGCTCTCGCTTTTCGGTCTTGATACAGCGAACGCGGCCCTTCGACTTGGGGCAAGTCCTGCTTTATCTCGTCTGAAACACTTATCTATAATCAGCGGCTTTAATTCCAGCTGCACATATTCAGATCTCCGAGCTCTGCTCACTTTACCAGAAGCATTGATCAGCTTCTCATTATACGTGCAAGATCATGCGTTTGGTTCAATCGGAGGTGACATGATATCCAACGCGGGTCTCTGGAAAGTCCTGAGAAAGCACCAGAATAGCCTTGAATACCTCGACATTTATCGTGATGCTGAACACACGAGACTCTATATGAGTCAAGGCCATTTTGGTCTTCTCCGTCCCTTTACACGCCTCAAAAGGCTTTGTATCCAACCAGAAGTCTTACTTGGTAGCTTCTGGGATCGGCCCAACGCCCCTTACCGCTTGAAAGACCGTTTGCCATGCAATCTCCAGTCTCTCACACTCTATGGCGGTAAAATGTTCTTCCACACCAGCAGTATGAGTGTTCACATTCAAGAAGCACTGGGCAGTGGGATATTCCCGTTCCTAATTTTGATTGAACTAGAGGGTTTCTATGTAGATTCAGATGTATCTGAGGTATGCCGTGAAAACGGTGTTAGCCTCTCAATGGGACGAAGCTGTCAACATAAAGCCCTTTCAAGAGATTGCCAACTTCGGAAAGAAGGAAGTTGCCCGCCGTTCTTGCAAAAGACATACCACATGCGAATGGATGGCCAAAGACGGGCGGTTATGTTTGCTTTCTTCCCTATGGAATGTCGTGGTCGTGGTGAGATATTACTACCCCTTGACGACAGCATGGACGCCTACGAGGAGATGGATACAGAAGACGAAGACCTTGATCAATGTACCGGTGACTTGAAACTCCGTATGTTGGACTTGTGGGTGCACAATGGAGGCACAGCGTACATGGTCTTTCAAAACTTTGGACACTCCTCGCTACCACCGCTTTTTTCCTTTGCCATATATTTTACACATGTACTCGTGTCGCGGGAAAGGGTAGACCATCGGGCTTTGTACCATGCTCTTTGTGACTCGTACCGCAATTACGATGTCCGATTCGATCTGTATTTTGTCCCCGGTATAGGTGACGAAGGCTGTATAGCTCATTACCGCCAGGAGGGGCGCTTCCGTGGGGATTATAAGAAGCAACTTCAGGCATACAAAGAGAGTAGTCGTTATGATGTTTCGCCAGGGGTGGGATTTCTACCCAGTATGGTACACGACTACTCTGATACTGGTTTCTATCGAGGGTTGCTATTTATATGTCCTGAGCCAGAATGGAATGGTAACCAAGAAACCTTGTGGTCTGTGCAGTTCGACCCGGTTCGACAGGCTGGAGATAGCACAGAGTCGTCAGATGAAGAAAATATCCCTCTTCATTGTATCCAGCGACACCCAATTAATGATCGCAGCCGCCGGTATGAAGGCTACGATGGCGAATGCCCGATTGACCGATGGATATCTGATATAGCATCCTGGCATAGGGAGGAATTGAGGGGACCATGGCTGAAAGCAACACGAAGAGGCTGGCAGAGTTGGCGTTAGTTGGACTCACGAGTCAGTATTTCCTTACATCAATGATTCTAAGAAATACTTTCATTTAGTCATTAACTCAGAATGAATTCATGTTTCACAGTTTATCAGACGGTAATGAATGCAGTAGTGTGTATGTACCTTTCGTCCTCAGCTTTTCATAAAATGCGTGCCTGTCGTATTTACTATTTTTTTCCCCAACTATCTTTTGTAGCTTTACAAACCATTTCACCAAGCCATGGTATAAAACAAAAAAAGAACGAGAGAAGAAAGAAGGATACGTAACACACCTTTATAATAAACCAGCCCATAGATCAAGAATGATCCTCACTCCAATCGAAATCATGTTTGACCGTAATAGACATATGAGCAGAGTCATTCATAAGTTTAACACTATCCGTATCCCTCTGATACGAGTTAGGCTCACTGTGAGCCGAAACGGTCGTCAGCACTATCTCATCCTCCGGACGCAATCGGGCATTCTGACAACCCTCACGCGCGTCTAGTTGTTGAAACGAACGACTTTTGCTCTGCGATCTATCTCGGCGTTTCTTTCTAGAAGCTGATAGCGAAAAACTACCGAATAGTCGTTCAGCATTAGACCCGAGCACAAGCTTCGTGGTTCTCCGGAGCAGCGCGTTCAGCGTGGGTAGACATGCGCAAACAATGCCGATGCAGGGCTCAATGGTCGACCATAGGTATACGTCGCCCATGACCCAGGTGATGTCGGGGTTCGTCGCAAGTAAAGTCAAGTAGAAAATCCGAACCATACTTCCCACGGAGACGCTGTATATGACGATTAGCTCGTCGCCCTTGTGTCGTGGTAGTAAAGGTATATCGGCCATTCTTACAACCCACCTAAGAGAAAGATACCAGAAATCAGTACTTTCTGCATCGGACGTATTTGGAGTCTGGAGACGATCGGAATCGGAACAAGCAGTGTGATGACATCTGTTAAGACATTTGTTGCCGCGTTTCCAAGGTAGAATGCATATAGGTTAATTATGCACTTTCCTCCCGACGGATCAACAAACTGCGTATAGAAGTATGACAGTGGCCGGCAGGAGCATAGGAAGGCAATAATGCAGCAAGCGCCATGGCCTATACTGAGGGCCAAGCAAACCCACATCATCCAGTTCATTCCAAAGATTCGGCGATAGAGGAGGATAATCGATACTTTGATGGATGGAAGTAGAACTAGATAGATAAAGATATAAGCGAACAGAATCTTACACACACTGTCAGTCTCCAGCCCGAATAAAGGGTTCTAAAAAACTCCGAAGTATGCTTTACCTTTCGCATGTTCACCACATCGTCAAGCGTCCCTCTCCACACATGCTTGCCCAGACCGCAGTATCCCGCTGAAGGTTGACAAATAATCAGCTCCTTCACTATTAACTTTGTAAGAAATAAAATACAAGTCTTTACCCAATATAGTAGCAACTAGAAGTGTGGTTAAAGGGATCTGTGCTAAATCTATAAGCAAAAGTCCTTTGTGCCACGATTGAAATGGTAAGAAACGGGAGGCGACTTACAAGAGACGCTGCAATCAACCAATCGTCAATCCCTAATCTGATATTTTGGATTTTAATCCGCGTAACAAATCGAAGTATTACAGCCACAACGGCGACGATATACAGGGCAATAACAGTAGCATTGATCTGGGGAGTCTGGTTGTCATTTAGGTCGATACCAGGAGGTTGCGGCCCGAAGATATCTGTGACCGTCACCATACTCGCAACAAGTCCAACTTTTTCACGAGATACAGAGTTGAAGTTGGCACAATGGCAAAAATCAGGGAGAACCAGCGGGTAGCAAACTGACAGGCGGGCGAACTCTGACAACATCCATAGTGAAGAATGCCAGAATTAGACGCGAGACCAAAAGATACAATTGCGAGGATTAATGGCCAGGTATGCACGAGTAACAAAGTACGACTGATGCATCGTTCACTATTTTTTACGTGATAAGGGCATAACTGGTCTGGCCCCCAATTGCACCCTTGTTTCAAGCGCGTAATAGCATGGATTATTATACAGACCTATCCCGTGATGTGGGACTGCTGATGAAGAAATCAGGGCATGAGAGCCCACTTGACTGGGTCTGACGTGTTTGTCACTATGCCTGCATATGCAGAGAATATCTTTCAGTAATATGATGATTCAGCCAAGATAAGTACTAGTCATGGATTGATTGAGTATGTACTTTTGTCAAGAGTCTATGCCATTCATACATAGTCTTACATACGTTTCGTTGACAAAATGGCTAAATCCAAATCATCTCGCATCTATTGATGCATGGTCTAAGACTCGTATATAAGGCACTTGCATGCACTTTGTAAGTCAACAGGGCGGCACCATCAGAACCGAAGGACCCCGGACAGTGTTGCATTAATACTCAAACTGGTGGTCTAATGGCTGGGTTGAAAATGCCACTGTTAGTACTCGGAGTGGCCCATTAATTTGGTCAGTGGCGTTGCCAAACCACGGCTCGCCGGGCCGCCCCGTAACAATAGGGGCAAAAGGTTGTAGGTTCCAGGCCCGAACCCCTGTTCTAAGGAGGAACTAATATGCAGAAATGGTGCCTGGGGTTGTTACCAATCAGGCCAATCATTACTGGTCCACTTTTAGCTCTCAATTGGAACCCTGCGTCATGTTGCAGCTCAACAGACATGCAGATTTATCTACGTTTAAATGTGCCTGCACGAAGCACGCGCCACCAAGCTTCCTTGCAGCCAAAGACAGGGAATAATAATTAAAAAGTTGGCATTCAAGCCTTAATCCAGACCATGTGCACTATGACCACAAACGACGGGTACTGTGTGGCATTAACTGTTGCTTTGGTACCATTATACTATGGCGCGTGGATGTCTCGACAAATAGCCGACAAAGGGCCATAGCACACTACTAGCCCTTGCATTGGTATCCTTAGCAATTATCAGCATGATTGAACACGTTTGATAAAGTTTCTCCAAATACCCAAGTCCTATTACCTCACTCCCCAATGTTCGGAATAATATCCGAAGCGATGCCCCCCTCTGCGACATGCCACATACCGTGTACGGAATACAAACTCATCTATAAAGCATCATCTCAAGCGGACAAGGTTAGCTCACAAATGTCCATCTTACACAACTAGTACAGTCTATGTAAATGACATTAATCACTCATGGATGTCGTCGGCAAATTTGTCCTGTTGGGAGCTAACCTCATTCTCTCCCGTTTTATCTGGAACTACTTACGACCTCCATTGAAGTCGTTTCCTGAGCCATTTAACGCCAAATTAACAAATTTATGGAGGCTTCAAGTCGTGTTCAAGGGTCGTTGTGACATCACGCATAATGAGCTTCACCGAAGACATGGACCTGCAGTCTGCATAGGTCCCAATGTGCTAAGTCTCCCCGATTCTACGTTGATCAACCAGGTGTATTCTACCAGAGATCCATGGGCTAAGGTGAGTAACGAACTTATCTAGGGTTCACAACATGTATATAACATGGAAATAATAAGAAGTACCTCTGATTCTTGTCAACTCGCAGAGTGACATGTACAATGTGAACGACTCGGTAGTTTCCGGCGTTCGTATCAAGAATCTCTTCTCGCATCAAGATGAGCAGTGGCATACCAAGTACATCCGACCGGTCAAGAATCATTATTCCATGACCAGAGTCCAAGAGCTGGAGCCCGGCGTCGACACAACCATCAATCTTTTTTTTTTTTTTTTTTTTTTAAAAGATACGAAAAAGGTTCGTCTCAACAGGTAACACCTGTGAGATGAGCAAGTATATCAACTACTGTAGGCTTAGGCACTCGCATTCCAGACACTTCGCTGATATCGTCAATCTCTAGTTGCATGGGACACCATGAGCCAGCTCAGTTATTCCAAACCTATTGGTATGTTAGAAGCGGGAAGTGATCCCTTTGGAATCCTAGAAGTATCTACCAAGTCTCTAGACTATTTCGCATCGGTAAGTGTGCAAATTTTCGCATGCAAGCCCATCAGACACACATTCCTCATTCTCGCAGGTGTGCCAAATTCCAAAGCTGGATTTACTTCTAGACAAAAATCCCATCTACCGCTTAGGGCCTCCTAGTATTGATTGGTCCGTATAATTCAGCGCAGAACAGTATCAAGAGCGCCTTACCGGGGGGGAACAATCGCAAAATGGCTATGGGGACTTTCTAGATCGATACATCGAGGCGAAGGGCAAGATGCCGGATATCGTGGACGAAAATGTCGTCCAGATGTACCTACTCTCCAATATAGTAGCGGGTAGCGACACGACAGCAAGTGCCATTTGCGCGGCAGTCTATTATGTACTGAAAAACACAGCTGTGTACAACCGTCTGCAGGAGGAACTTCGGGGAACCAATCTATCCACGCCACCCCAGTGGAAGGAGGCTCGGAGTCTCCCTTATCTTGACGCCGTCATGCGGGAAGCTATGCGCGTCCATCCAGGCGTTGGGCTCTTGCTCGAGAGAATTGTTCCAAGGGATGGATTAACACTATCGGGTGGGCGCTTTGTCCCAGAAGGCACCATTGTCGGCATGAATCCCTGGGTCGTCAATCGCGACAGTACCGTTTTCGGGTCCGAGCCTGATTCGTTCAAGCCTGAGCGGTGGCTTCCGGCGGAGGCGGAGGGCGAGGATGACGAGGCGTATCAGACTAGATTTTCGAAGATGAAAAGTACAGATCTTACTTTTGGTGCAGGACCACGAGCATGTCTGGGAAGGCACATCTCCCAGTTGGAGAGTTACAAAATTGTTGCGACGCTATTCACGAATTTCGATGTGAGTCTTTGGCTATTTACACAATGTGTTACAGAATATCTAACAAGCCTTTTTACAGGTCGAGCTCAAAACACCTGACTATGAGTGGGAAGTGACCAATTCCTGGTTTGTGAGGCAGAAAAATATTCCCGTTATAATCAAAGAAAGAAAGTCTTGAAACCTATGCTTCCTCGGTACAGTGGGCTAGAGTCTAGCACTTCCATGATGTATATAATCACAACTTGATTCGTGGAAAAGAGCTCTTCTTAATCTCTGTCATTCTATTTTTCATTCTTCTTTTCTAATAGTACACATCGGTCCTAGCGAGTGGAGACGATTCGTCTTAGTCCAAGGTACTTGGATTCAATATTCTAGCAGTCAGTAGCATCTGCTTAGGACTCAATCAAAGTTACAGCTACAACTGAAATACCGGGGGTTTCTATATCTAACTAAGTACCCGAACTAACCATACCAATGACGTATTCAGTGTAAATCTGATATTCTAAATATAGACAACCAGCTTATACAAAGAACCTGGTGGTCTACATACAAAGCTTCTGTCGAACAAAGACGCGATAGTGCCTTGTTGGCATTACCGGAAGCGTGGACAAAATGATCATATCCTTAACATTGCCTCCTATACAGGACCAGGATACTATTTCAATTAGCGAAATTATATACTAATTCAACGCTCTGAGTTGTGGTCTGCATATTGTGCGGACTTCCTACTGTTCTGGTATTCCTGAAACAACGATGCACGTAGATATAATATTCCGCGTGAATCTTTCTATCTAGTCATAACGGCTATAATACTCCAAAAGTCCATCCAGGAGGCTCCTAATTTGCCTCTTGATTTCTTCTCCTTCTTCTTAGGTTCTAGAAGTAAAAGTAGACGTCACATCAATAATCAATCCATGATTCAAGGAGAAAGAAAAGGTTAAACGTCTGCAAGAATGGCCGAACAAAATCCGCCGAACAAATCCCGAACTTGAAGGGTACGGGAACAATGCCCATCATTTGAATAAGCGGGAAGGGCTCTGGTAGGTAGATAGTAGTGGTAACTAACCAACCTCTTTGTCTTTTTTCTTAATGTATATTGTACACTTTCAGCCCAAATAGGACTTCTACCCACCGAGAGCCACAACCTAGCCGAAAGACATCCTCATGCATTGAAACACAAGAAAAAGTTCCTATCAGAAGATGCACATGCGATAAGAAAGCGGTCAGCCATGCGGGGCGCGGGGCGAGCGAACCGATTCGTTCGGACCGACAAGTTAAAGGGCGACCAGAAGATTCTCCAGACAGTGTAGTGTCATCACCCTCGGTCTCGATTTCTTATCGCACGACATACGCGAGGGTCGATTCAATTGACCCCCTGACCGAGTTTATACCGGGACCAGCAAGTGAAAAATTCATTTACTATTATCTTTAAATACCGGCTAGCATCGTTACGATTTGTTCTGTTCGACCTCCTGAAATTCAACTTTCGCCTCATACGTTTAATTGTCCCAAGTCCCACCCCTCACTTGCATTCAACCTCACGCACCATCACCAACCACACTTCATATCATCAGCCTCTCCCGCTCTATATAAAAACAATAGAACCGATACAAGAAGAATGACCGACACAGCCATCCAACCAGACCCCGTCCTAACTCAATTAAATGGAGGCACCTCGAACCTAAAAAACATGGCCCCCCATCTCCCCTCCCCACAAGCGCAATGCACCTCCACACCCTCCACACAACAGCAAACAACATCCTCCTCCCTCTCAGAAGTAATCGCCCAATGCCACCACAAAGTGCACACCTTCCTCGCCGAGTCTCATCCTCCAGATTCTCTCCTCGCCGCCGTCCAACGCCAAACTCGCATCTCCCTCGACATCGCCGCAACAGCCCTCTCCCGCTACAGCCTCCCGGAGCTCGCCCTCTCCTATAACGGTGGAAAAGATTGTCTGGTCCTCTTGGTGCTCTTCCTCGCCAGCCTGCATCCGCATCCACCGCCCGAGAAGGGCGGCCTCAAGTCCATCCCGGCGATTTATGCTCTACCGCCGGATCCCTTCCCCACAGTCGAGGAGTTCGTCAAGTGGTCGTCGAACGCCTATCATCTTGATATTATAAAATATACGACAGAGCCGCCGAAGTCGACCATCAAGTCAAGTTTTGCGCACTACTTGTCCCTCCATCCCAGTGTGAAGGCGATTTTTGTTGGCACTCGTCGGACGGATCCCCATGGCGCTAAGTTGACTCATTTCGATCGGACGGATAGTGGTTGGCCCGATTTCGTTCGCGTTCACCCAGTGATTGACTGGCACTATGCGGAGATTTGGGCTTTCATCCGTCAACTGGGCTTAGAGTACTGCTCTCTCTACGACCAGGGATACACTAGTCTCGGCGGTCAGACGGACACTCACCCAAATCCTAAGCTTCGTGTCGACACTATGGCAGGTAACGAAGCCACGAAACACTACCGACCAGCGTATGAGTTGACTGAAGACCTGGAAGAGCGGCTGGGACGCAATTAGCCCCTTGGCTGCCTGCGTGGAGTGGTACCAGCACCGTCAAGCTCTTCGCGCAGAAGTTCTTTGTTTGATCCGATATTTACATGGAGAGCGAACTGAGAAGATTGTATGACATTGCGTATTGGGCTTTCTTTTTATTCTCGCCCTCTTTCACGGCTTTCTCTGTTTCTCTTATATCTCTATGTATATAGTAGAAAATAGATTTTATATATCTCTGTGGCTGCTGGAAACTTTTGGGTTGCTGTTTGCAAGACCACAAGTGCAAATTTCATTAGATATTCTACCTTAACTTTTATCATGTTAAACAAAGGGATGTCTCTCTAAGTCAGATACCACAAATAGCAATTCTCATCCATACCTATCAATCTCTTTTTTTTCTATGGTCTTCAAGTGTGCGGACCAAGCGTACAAAATACAGATCTTAAACGCCATTCTGTTCACCACCATAGAACGGGGATGTTGTCAAAACAAATCAAGGCCAGGTAGCAATCGACAAAATCAAAAGACAACCGCAAGACGGTGACAAAACAAACAAAATTGACAGAACGAACATTGAAAAACAAAGGTGCAAAAATGATGTGCTGTGTAAAACATTGTAACCTATAGCATATGCTGGCATGTAGTCATGGAGCCGGTTATGGTGATAAGCCCGGAAGGGATTCACAAGTGACTCAGTGGACGGATCGCGGAGATCTCACAGTAATCTCCCTGCGTGACGGGATAGGCGACAAAGACTCAGCTTTGATATTCTCCTTTCGGGGGCTGGTTGGCCCAGAACGGGGTTCGGCACAAGGAGAGTTGGGCAAGGCTGTCCTGGACGAAACTGTCCTAGACGAACCGCCAGAGATGGTTTCCATCCAGCTCATACGACTAATTGGAAGCCGTCCACGATAGACAGGCGTGTCAAGTATTGCTGAGCTGTTCCCAGCGGACCAGGTGTTGAGGTGTACATTGCTGGGCTGGTTCTTCACCACAGGATACCTGTTTTCTCATCAGCAGGGTGGATTCATGTTTTGTATACAGTTGTCAATACGTACGGAGGAGAAATGGACGTCGCAGGAGTCCAGGTAGGGCCCATCCCCACAGGAGACGGATAACTGACTTGGGAGCTGGGGCTGAGATGGGACGCAGTTTGTTGCAGACGATGCAAAGAAGGTGATGGGGTTGAGCCTTGGACTACCTCAACTGAGTAATTGTACTCCCCAGCTCGATAAGCACGGCGCTCATTGCTTTGCTGTTTGAGCAGCTTTTGAGCCTTTGTGTCTGCAAAGCGAAGGAGTAATTTGACACCATCGTTTGCCAGGACGTTGTGGAATCCGGTCAACACTTTCTCTGCGATCTCGCGGGTCTCGAATCTAGGAAAGTTATTAGGGTGCAACGACATAATACAATGGCCTGGGACACTAACCGAGCGAATCCAACTTCCTTACTCACGCCCGTCTTTTCATCACGGCTAATCTTCTCGGACACGACACGGTAAGGCTCAAAATGACGACGAAGATCCTGAGGAGAAACATTTGTTAGCCCGATAACGATGGAAAGATCAGTCGGCTCACGGCTTCAGTCCAATCATTCGGAATATTGGTGCAGTATATATTGGTGGATGATTTGTCTTCTAGATCCTTGAGACGCGAGTTTCGAGATTTCTGAACCATATTAGCCATGATCGCTGTCCATTGAGCATCGAAAGTGATGTGTTACCTGAGCAAAGCTGGCTTGATAGCCAAGATAGAAAAATCCCCGAATGCAATTTTCACAGGATTCGAAGTTGTAGTATTGCACGAAGCCAAAGCTATCGATTCTGTGAGTGAGGAGGTGGCACCCATGGACACGTCACATACCCTTTGCAAAGACCTGTATCCAAATCCACAATTGCCTTGCAACGATCAATTTTTCCGAAGCGGGAAGCATATGCGTACAGCATCTCATCGGTCGTTTCCGGCAGGAAACCTCGGATGTAAACATTGGTGATACCCTCACGATTCTCCAGGCATTTGGCGAGGGTAAGATCGGATGGATTGGTCCACATTGCAGGCACTGCCCGTGGAATTGGGGGATCCTGCTGTGTCAGGCTCTCCAGGTCCTGAAGGATGTAACCGTTGGGAGTCTTCATCATCTGAAAAGGAAGGCTGAGGCTTTCGTTCTTCTGCTCTTCATTACAACTCACCAGATAAGGAAGGGTAGGGTATGGAAGAACATTTGGATACATGTATGGCACCTGAGGTATCTGCGGTATCTGAGGCATCTGATCCGGGAGAAAGACAAAAGGGTATTTTGGACGCTGCGCTTGAAAATTCAAAGCGCCGAGCAGCGGAGTCAAGACATCACCCGAGTGCTGAGGAGCCATGGTAGCCTTGCAGTTACTGGCAATCTTCAACAGGAACTTAGCTGACGGCACAGAGACTCTTCGGAGCTTTTGCTGATGTATACTTGTACGTGTTCGACAAGCGACTAGTAAAGGGTCATTCGAACAGCGCAAGGAACGGGGAGAACAGGAAACAACTTGAGCAACACGGTGAGAGAAAGAGGAGGGGGAAGAGATGGAGGAGAAGATGAAGGAGGAACGGACAATGAGCGGGAAATATTCTTCATGTCGTCAGTCGCTATAAGGAAAGAGTATGGTGTCTTCCATACATGGCAGGTACCGTTGTGCTTCTTGGGGAAGGAACTTACAGTCAATACCAAAGTAGGTCGCTGTGTGAACGATACCGGAAGCGTGACTGAACAATCTATAGTAGTAGGTAGTTGGCTGCACCTGTTTACCAGATACCCGATACGAGAGGCTTGTTTACTTGGGATCAATTGCAATGATATTACTGGAAACTATAAGCCAATTAAATTGTTGAATGTCTAGTATGAATGATTTAAAAAGTAGGTGACTTACTGTCTCCTTTATAGTACCATTAGTATCCTTATCTTAATTATATATAGTCTTCATATCTCGGGAGGTTGTACGGACCTAACAACTATAAATGGTTAGTGTCATTGTCAACAGTAATATTTTTCACTACAGTAGTCTTTAGAATGTTGAAAAGTGAAGAGTAACTTTAACTAACAATATATGAACTATCATCAGGAGCCAATGTTTACATTGTTTTTTATTATATTTTATTTTTATTTATTTCACCGATTAAGAAGAATAATGGAAATTGGAATATTTTGAGTTGTGTTTGTCTGAAGACGTGGATAGTCGTCCTGAAAAAGGTAGATATCCAACTTCTACAAGTCCCTTGCACATCTAGAGTAGCTGACTAAAACAAGAGAATAAAAACTTAAGAAAAGTTAAGATGAGTAGTGAAAAAGAGAAGTTTAAAAATATGCATCCATGGGAAGGTAAGTTAAGTCTATCCTGTACGTTGGCGTCAGTATACATCAACTTCGGTGTATAAACTACTATAGCCTCACAGGGTCCATGTTGTTTGACCACTTGAAGTACATAGTTAGCTTACTCCCTTACGATCCGGTCCTTGTCCACTAAACCCAAGGACGTTAGGACCGTCTTTCACGTGAGGATATCGGCTCTCGGAGCTCCGCAGCCATTCCCGAAGAGGACTTCCCCGCATGGGGATTAACGGCTAGAGCGGAGAAGCTGGAGCGTCAATAGCAAGTCAGACCACTTGGAGTTACCAAATCCTGTGCCTGAGAGGTCCCGATTCTCCCCTGGTGGGTGGATAGCTCGGGTAGCAACGGACAAAATACCTCGTTTCCTTATTCCCGTCGAGTCAATTGACCCTCACGATTCTGCCTACGGTCCCAGCTGAAGCCAGCGTTTGAACTTTATTATTACCTGTTTGAAGGACATGGGTTACATTGGAAGCCAAATATAACTATAGCTGCTCCTCCCTACCCCCCATCCCATTCCCTCATCGTCTGCATACCCGACGGAAACACCCATAATTTACCAGTCGCCTGGTGCTCTGTACGGTACACACGCTTGAGTTGTCAACATGAGCATGTCGCGTGCGCTATCCCTTCCTCTGCGGAGGGCGTCTGTCACTTCTCCTATCCTGCGTTTGTCACCATCAGCTTTCACAGCTACTAGAGCTTTCTCGAGTTCGTTACGACGTGATGATACATGGGGGTTTATCGGATTAGGACAAATGGGTATGTTAATGTTTTGTTTGATTCAACTATAATTAAGTCCCCATCCTTTCCCGACCCCTCGGATAAACCAGAATGATCACCGTGTATACTGGGGCCATTGGGCCACAGTTCCTATATTTAATTACCACCGTTCAACTTTTTATACCGGACTCATTGAATATACTACTATCTCCTTCTACTTCATGCCCCTCACCTTTTCTAACCGCATGCACTACCGGGGACTAACACTTTGTCTCCACAGGCTACGCCATGGCCAAGAACTTACGCGCTAAAATCCCCGCATCCGACACACTAATCATCCGCGACATAAACGAAAACACCGCCAAAAGATTCGTCGAAGAGAACGAAGAAGCTGTCCGGAACAGTGGAGCCAAGGAAGGCACCTCCAGGGTGCTTATCGCCCAAAACGCGCGAGAAATAGCAGAACAATCGGTAAGTTTCGCGTTGCGTTCTATTACCCCCCGGCGAACAAACCATGTCACAGAGTCCGCACAAACCTTGCTCAAAAGGAGTCTTCATTATGACTGGACAGTGCTATAAATACACACATGGGCTTGGCTAGTTGAATTATCAAAAGGGACAGAAAAAAAAAAAAAAAAGAAATGCAGCAGAAAAAGAAAAGGATCGGCATTATTTGATTAGTTTCTAGCGGGGTTGAAAAGACGAAGTCGCATACTAAACTACCACCTACTCTCCAGACAGTGATAGTCACCAGCCTTCCAGAACCCGAGCACGTCAAGAATGTCTTCTACTGTATGCTCCACCACGGCGAGCTCCCGGCCCTAGAAAAGGAGCGCTTGTTTATCGACACCTCCACAATCGACCCAGCCTCGTCCAGAGAAATTGCCAATGCAATCCACACAACGCGCCAAGGGCGATTCGTCGACGCCCCGATGTCAGGTGGAGTAGTGGGCGCCCGTGCCGGCACGCTATCCTTTATGTTTGGGGCTTCATCGCAGACCGGCGAGCTTGTCGATCGCGTTCAGTCCGTTTTGATGCTAATGGGCAAGAAGGCCTGGCACATGGGTAATTCGGGAACAGGTGTCTCCGCAAAACTAGCCAACAATTATCTCCTGGCCATCAACAACATTGCTACCGCCGAAGTTATGAATCTGGGAATCCGTTGCGGGCTCGACCCCAAGGTCCTGGCCGATATGATTAACACGTCGACTGGTCGCTGCTGGCCGATGGAAATCAATAACCCAGTACCGGGCGTGGTCGAGACCGCGCCAGCGTCGCGCGAATATGCCGGTGGTTTTGGCATTAGTTTGATGAATAAAGATCTTCGACTGGCGATTTCCGCTGCGGAGGAGTCTGGTACTCCTCTCGCCCTGGCCGATAAGGCCCGGGGGGTGTATAAAGCGGTGGAAGATGAGCATCGAGGTAAGGACTTTTCCGTGGTGTACAAATGGCTACAAGAACAGTCAGCTACTCAGTCGTAGTAAACTATGATTGGACTGAAATTGGTTATTCTTGGTTGATATTCCTTTAGCGTGGCACTGTTTTGGGAACCCTATATAGTTTTTGTGTTTTTTTTTTTTTCTTCCCCTTTACGTTCTATGCGATGATTTATGCAGCCGAGTTAGAATTGCATTTGCGGGCAATTGAACAAACATTACGAAATTATAGTTGTATTCCCTTTGGGTTTGACCCAGATAATATACAGAAGTCTAACTTCTACGGCAAGGAATAACTACCGGCTTGTATAAAACATTCCACAAAGAAAAATCAATGACAAGCGGGTATGTAATATATGTAATCTCCGAAATAAATTGCGCAGAAACGCCCCCACATTGCACGGAATATCAGATTGAAGAAAGAAGTAACGTATGGCTGGCAAGGAAGAAGAATGCTTATACAAGCCAAGTGTACTCCGTAGTCGGAAATGCAAGGATAAACCAGATGCTTATTGACCCGGTGATGCCGGGTTGCTGGCTGGACCTGTGAGATACTCTGGCGGGACTTTCGGCACACGGGGTGAACTTGCAGTCTGAGCCATAGCCCGGTGTTGAGCTCGGATAAGGTCGCGCTGTCGCTCCTTATCTCGGTTATTCGCGGCGCCGCCAGTAAGCCGTCTCATACCACTGCGGATCATGGACTCAAGTGAGGACCCATCAGTTGCGCTACGTGTTTGGTTGAGTTGATGAGGTGCCAGTCTATTAGCTATAATGCGCTCATCGAGATCATACATTCCTTCTTCCACTTCATCATCGGAGAGGAACGCAGATTCGTTGAAGCCAATTGGTGGAGTGGCAAATTGGGTACTGGATGACGTCGGGGAGAATAATTGATTGACAGGAGACGTGACCGAACGAGCGTGCGACACTGGGCGTAACGTTTGAGTCGACACTTGAGGTGTCAGTACCCCTGGTGAATGTACCCCAGGGTTGTCGAACCGGAAATTTGGTGGTCGAGATTCAGCGAGGCCGTTATGAAAAGACGACGAGGAAGCTGTTCGGGCGAGAGACTTTCGTAAAATCGGGGCTGTTTGTTGGTCATAGAGACTGGCGCTAGTGTCAACGTAGGTCCCTGTAAAGCCGCGCAATGTCGAGTCTGGCATAGAGTCAATTATCGGGTTACTTGTCTCAGTCTCCTCAAAGAAGTCGTCCAAGCTGTCCAGTTTCTGTACAATATCTCCAATATTGCCATCCGCCTGCGTGTCAATAGACTTCATCGTATCAGCCCGCATAGGGAAAAAGGAATCATTGTATTCGTCCGCATGGAACTCTACTTCGGAGGGAGTTGTTTCTTGCACTTCTATACGATCGACCTCAGCGCAAGTGTAGAAGACAGCATGGACATTATGTCGGGTGATACTCGACTGGGTAGCAGGCATCGGTATAGACCATCCGGTGGGTTCTGGTATACCATACAGACTTTGAATACGCTCGTATTCTTTGCGGATAGCCCGAGACGAAGATGACGATGCCATACTCATTCGAAGGTGATGACGCTCCATAGGGTTGCCTGAGACAGTCATGATATGATCCATCACCTGCAGCGCTTGAGGACAAAGATCGGTTTGCAAAAGACGCAGGAGGGGTGAGATCAAGTCAGGGCCATGGCATGTCACCTCTCCCCGTCGCATGTCAATTTCAGGAATGAGCACGCAGAGTATCTTCATGGTTTTGACCCGAAACCAATCGGTCGTGTTGGTCAGCAATCCCATAAGGAAGATAAGGCTTTGAACATCTTGCCGAGGGAAATAGTACGAGCGTATTTCGGTGATAATGTGGCTCAAGAAATCGTTCTCGGCCTTATACTGTCCATTGGCAAACCCGAGGAGCGAAGCTGCAAGACGCGGGCACCTCTCACTCTCAGCAACACGAGCTAACAACGTAGCACGAGCAAGTGTCTTCGGATCATCGACGGCGGGATCAAACTGATGTAGAAAGTGGGCCATGTTTGCCAGAATTGTGAAGAGAAGGCGGTTACCATCGCCCATGAGTTCGTTATTTGGAAAGCCACTCAAACGGTGCAGAATATCCAGTGTCAGGTTAAGCGATTCGCGTGATTTTAAACCTTTGTAAACTAGATTCTGAAGACCATCAAATCCACCTTCCCATTTAGGGGGCTGGGTTTTGATAAGCTCTGTGACGACCATCGGGTCACTTAGATCGACGCGCTCCATGAACTTTTCCAACATACCAATACTCTCAACAAACTCAGTCTCATGAATAGTGTTTAGACATGCACAAGTGGTCCAAAACAATTGTGGAAAGCGCAGAAGATGCGTTGGGGCCAAGGAGCTGATTATAATCTTGAGCGTTGTGAGAATCTCCATCGAAAACGTTCGGTAGTCCGCTTCCTCGTCCGCAATCGTATTGGATAGTCGAGCTAGCATATCTGCAAGCATCCTAGCGTCCAACGACATGGATATGCAGCGAAATACTTGGAATGATCGACAGGCGAGATGTCGCACCGGGCATGAAGTCGCCCAATTTAGAGCCTCTTTGGCCCAAAGATCATTTATACCTTCATAGGCCAAACTGAAGAAATCAACAACCTGCCGAGTCACACTTCCCATCGACGAAGGAACCCGGCTACCGTTATCCTCTTCATCCTTATCATTCAGGTCTTCATATTCCCATACCACCTTTGGATCGCTCTTGCGGATAGACTCTACAAAATCTTCGATAGACTGCCTAGCTCCAGCTGAGGCGTCGTCTTCAAGCTTGGCAGCAATTAGTTCATGAATCAGGTGAACCAACATTTCTCTAGCCTGCTCTTGTACGGTGAGTGTGTAGTGATCCCAGAGAATCAGGACAACGTGAAGTAGCTTGACTACATCTTCCAGGGGAAGAGTAACGGGAGCAACCATCAAGTCCACCAGAAATATCAGAGCAACTTGGCCAAGAGAAAGCCCCGCCTGTTTGTTCCCCACGGGGAGTACAGCTGCCAGGTCTGCAACATAAGGCAAGCCCTTGATATCCGGTGGGGGCGGGGTTATATCTTTCCTCTCCTGTACCATGTTCTTAGGAACAACTTGCAGCAAGAAAAACTCGATGACCTTTGAACCAGCAGGAGTTCCTGCAAGGAAAACAACAACTTGCTTAGCATATTCCACAAAGTTCTGTTCTTTACGCTCCAAGCAAAGACTAATAACGAAGTCGAGAACCAGCTGCACGTTCCCGCCGTGCGGACCTGTCGTCAATGCTTGCCAAAGAGCTTGAACCTCATTTGGCAGTATCGTGCTGCACCGAATGGTGATCTCGAAAAGGTTGGCTAGAAGCATATATGATCTGGCCGTGGGCCCGCCGTTGGGATCAACCTGAAGCTCTATCGTCTGTACCCATGGCAAAATAGCAGCAACCATGTTTCGTTGGCTATCGGGCCCCAAGGTCCTGAAGTGCAAGGAGAATTCTGAAAAGAGAGTAAAGGCAAGGTCAGAGTGTTGTTTTGCTAAACGCTTAGACGTTTCAAACTGAGCTAATTTGTATACGGCGGTGGTTTTATCAGAGATACTGATGTCGAAGTCTTGCAGTCTAGAGCTCTTCTGTTGGCGTTCCTCTAGAATGCGAAGAAGTTTGGCGGACTTCATTCTGATTTCCCGTTTCTGATTACCAAGGGTGACGAGAACTGCCCCCAAGATCCTCCAGAAGCCAAGCGGGTAGTCCGTGTGTTCGATGAGTACCTCTGAGACCACTTCAAAATAACTCTCAAGAGCCTTGGGCCGTTCTGTCACATAACACATCTCTATCGACCGTTCCAGCAGGTAAGCATGCTCTTTATTGTGAACAATCAGATTCTTAAGTGCTCGTCTGCCAATCGCATGCCACTTATCACTGATGGCGGTAAAGATGATGTGAATCCACGATAGCATTCGTCCCACATCGAATTGAAGTACTGAGCCACTTTCTGTGGTAATGCTGATTGGTCCCGCCTTCAAGAATTAGCTGACGAACACAAGTCATGAAAGTAAAGCATTTACTTACACACAAAGATGCCATTGCGCTAAGCGCTGCTGCACGTAAATTCTTCTTTTCTATTTCCATGGCTGCCGCAGTGTTGCGTAGGTCACCGGTTTCGCGTTGATTTGTAATGGCAAGTTTGCGCATACTTTCCTCTCTTTGCGAGATCTGGGTCTGATTCGGGGAGTATCCACACCAATCTTCCATGAGAGAGAATGCGGACTTTCTGGATTCAAACGGTATCCAACGTGAAGAATCCTTTGTACGATGGATTCCCTCGAAAAGCTCTTCCATTAGCCCGCAGTAGTGAAATCGTAGCCGCTGGAATTCCCAGTCATTCTGAACTTCGGCATCACTCAAAAATATCCGTAGATCTTTCGCATATGTCACGAGGTTGTTGACGATCCAGTCGTCATTATACACTTCTGGCTCCTGCAGAAAGTGTGATGTAAGCTTGTAAACATGTGTGACTTCTGTCCGCAGCCTATCCGTTCTTCGATTGCGTCTAGGACTGCTCGGAGATCGGTAGTGTGTGCCGATGCGAATCTTAGCTTCCTCGTTGCAGGTTGTGACGGCGTACTGGAGCGACTCGAGTAATGTACGATAAAGATTCGTATTTATGGAACCCAAAGCGACAACAATTGCATTGCGGATGGAAGCCCTTTCAGCTGACAGCAACGGAATTACAAAAGCGAAGAGGCTCCTGGCGGAACTAATCTTGTCATTTGATTGCTGCGAACCTTTCGAGGATTTCCGCGCATGTTGGGCATTGGCTAGCTGACTCTGAGATTGTGCGCCTACACTGTTGACAGTCGTGCAGGCCATGACCAAGTAAAGCTTCCACTGTTCGATCAGAATCTCAGCTGTCATATGGGATCTCCCAGGGGGGCGGGCCTGTGGGGCATCCAAGGGGCCATATGGAGGATGTTGGGGATTTTCAGCAAGTCCCGTGATCGTTTTGTGCATCTGAACAAGCCTTGCGCAAACAATCTCTCGCCCGAGAGTCACAGCAAACGGACAAGTCTCAAAGCTGATCCGGATAATATTTGGAAACACCTTTGACCACAATGTTGAATCGTACGACACTTCACTGCTACACAGTTCGATAAGTGTATTTTGTGATGCACTCCTCCGTTTTCCTTTCTGAATCCGGCTTCTCTCGGCAACGGTAAGTTGCTCATCGCTTACATTCAAGATCTGGTGAGAGTCGGCCTCGA